CGCGTTCGGCGTCGCGCTGATCATCGGGGAGGAGAAGCGACACGACATTGTGGCGCTGTGGGTGTTCCGCGGCAAGGGCATGCCGGAGGTTGTGGCGGCGGTGGAGGACACGGAGCTGTTCGACTGGGAGGAGGTGACCGACGTCGTGGCGCAGCGGGAGCGCATCACGGACTACCTGTGCTGGGAGGGCCCGACGATCCCGAAGCCCGTGCTGGAGGGGCGCGTGTTCAAGTGAGCGTGCGGGTGCGTGCACGTGTGCGTCTAGGTAGGTGGGATAACACTAACATTAACTGTGAGGGTGTAAGGGAAGGGGACGGAGGCGCGGAGTGGCCATGTGTTTGTTTTGTTTGTTTGTTTTCTGCTGCGCCTGCCTCCTTGTGGTGGTGGTGGTGGGGCGGGGGGTGCGCCGCTCCCATCGCGGAAGGGGGACGGGGAGGTGTCTGCGGTGTGACTTGTTTTTCTTTGCCTCTGCCCCGTTGTATGGGACTCTTGTTAGTTTGGATGGTTGACGAAGTGGCTGCGTTGTGGTATGTTTTGCTTTTGTTTTGTGTGTAGTAGGTTGTCTTCTTAGTTGTGTTCGTGGCGTTGTGGCTGGGTTGTGTATTTACGGAGTATTGGTGGTGTGTCGACGTGAAAGGCGGTGGCTGGCAGCTGGAGTGAGGCCGGGAAGGAGGTGGAGCCGTTGGGACGGAGGCTGCAATGATGCCAGCGTCAACCAAACTGGTGAGGCCTTCTGTGATAGCGACGAAGATGTTGGAGAAAACCGGCGGGTACGTGTTGCCCCACCCCGTGGTGGCTGTGCGTACCGTTAATTTGCCGTGCGGTGGTGTGGTGGTGGCCGCAGGCGGTGGTGTTGTCTCCGTGGGCCTTTTGTCGACGGTCCTGCGGCCGCTGGCGATGCAGGGCGGTGTGACTGTTGATGCCGCCTCTGCGGTGGCTCCCTCCGCGGTGGCGGGGAACCTCGTGCTCACGAGTGGCTTTGTGACCTGCATGACTGTGGTGCCACTGCCGGACGCTGGTGCGGCGCTGGGCGTTGTGGGGACAAGTCATGGATCACTGTGTTTCTTCGTTGTTGAAAGCCGAGTTGGGGGCAACCAGCCCGCGCTTTTCAAAGTTTGTGAGACACCCCTCCGCGCGTACTCGGATGGGCTAATCTCAGTGGAGGACCCGGTGACGGACGTCTGCGTTGGCTTCGACCCTGCGGGGCGCCCGGAGTTTGTTGCGGCGGCTTCCGCGACGTGTGTGGCGTTGGTTGACACGCAGTGCTTTGATGAGCAGCTAAAGGCGAAGGCGACGGAGGCGGTGGCGCAGGCGTTTACTAAACATTACTCTCCGCATGTGGGACGCCCGACAAGCGAACCGTTTTGCGCTTCGTTTGCGGCAGCAGAGGTGGTGCGTTTGCTGGTGCCAGAGCGCTACCACGCGGCCTTCACGATGGATGTGGCGCTTGTTGTCGTGCTGGACAGCGGTGAGGTGCGCTACGTCGCACGCAGTGTGGTGGGGGGCTCGGTGCAGCTGCTGCTGGAGCATCACCTGCAGCGGCAGGCGCGACAGAGCGAGGTGGGGCTCTCCATGTTGGCAGGCGACGACCCGCTGCGTGGGGGGCCACGGGCACTTCCACACGTGCTGTACGCATACACTCTTTCGGCAGTTGTGCACAACGTCTGTGCGGCGGCGGTGGCGCAGGGCTCACGCGCGGTCAGCGACATTGTCGTGAATGATGCTGCGCTTTGCTACGACGCTGCTGCTCATCAAATGCGGCTCATTGTCGCTGGCACAGAGACTCACTCCGTTGAGCGACCGGGCCAACCCTGCACCACGTCGGGGTGGTGGGCGATTGCGTTCAATGCCGTGTGTCCTCGCGATACACTGCAGCAGGCCCGGGCACTGACGGTGTCCAGCTTCGCCGCCCTCAATTCAAGCTCCCTGCCACGCGATCGTTGCGGTTTAGCGGCAGTGCTGGCGCTCTCTGATGGCCAGCTTCTGTTTGCCTGCGGCAACGAGCTGCACGTCTGCACCGCCGCCGGGGAGCTGATGAGCGGTGGTCATGGCTCCCTGCGACATGTGTACACAACCGGATCTGTCGTCAGCAGCATGGCAGCCGCACAATCTCAGAAAAGTGGTAATTCCACCGTCGTGGTTGCATGTGGCGCATCGCTTGCCCTTTTCCACATTTGAGTGCTTGGGTGCGTCTCTCACGCCACGCGAAGATGGTGTCGTTTGTGGCCCTGCGTGGGATGTGTATCTTTAGGATTTCTTCCGATAAACTGCATTTAATAACGAGGAGGGCGAGATGAGAGGGGGCGTGATACGAGGAGTAGAAGCCGTGAGGTGGCGTGTGTGCAGTGCACGTGTGCGGGCCGAAGCCTGCGCGGTATGGGGAGAACATACACAGAGAGAGATAGAGAGAAAAGGAGGAAAGAGGAGGAGAAAGAGAAGGAGAGTGAGGAAATGGCTGTCTGGCCGGTTGAGAGGGATTCGTTGGCGACACGCGCCACCGTTGCTCAAATCACTTTGTCGCTGGCAGCACAAATTTTGTTTTTTTTCTCCTTTGCTTCTTTTTTTTTTTGTTTGTTTGGCTGTAACTGCCTGCACACACCATTGCACCACACCGCCTGGAGGTGAGGTGGAAGGCTCAACGTATACGCAGACTTGAACTTTGGTAGACGCACGACTTACCTGCACTTTCCCGCTTTACGTGGACAACACGAATGAACGAGCGGGCCTTGTCGCTGGCGGAGGGTTTTGTGGCGGCGCGATACATTCGTGCGGGAGGGGAGGCGCTTCGCGCCAATGAGCGTGTGGTGCGTTCCATCCTTGCGCAGCGCCGTTGCCCCGAGCAGGGAATGTCGGACGTTGCCATTGAGTCGCTGCTGCACCAACTCGCACTGATGGATACAAATAACTTTCCTACACACGTCGGTGCCGGGGAGCGGGAGGGCCGCGTCGTTGTGCCGCTCGTTGCGCGGAGGCATTATGGCTTCGCCCACGGAATTGGCCGTTCTGGTGACATCCTGAGCGATCAGCCAAAGGCGGCGGGTTCGAGTTTGATCCATAAGCTGACGAATTGCATGGCGCTGGACCTGCTGCGGCTTGCAGGGGCGCCGTCCATTGAGTCTGCGGTGGTATTCCCCATGGCTACAGGCATGACACTCTCGTTGGTGCTCCGCGCCCTGGCACTGCAGTGGCGGGATGCGAGGCGAAAGGAAAATGCAGAGATGCAGGTGAGTTTTTCTGAGGACGAGCCTCGGTGTGTCATTTGGACCCGCATTGATCAGAAAACAGCACTGAAATGCATCGAGGCAGCGGGGTTCGTGCCGGAGGTTGTGGAGCTTCGGCATGCGCCCTTGCAGCGGCACGGCAAGGGGAGCGCGCGTAAGGGCGGGAAATTTGGCCTGCATCCGTACTTTCTCCAGGTTCACTTGGACGACATCTCCGCCGCGATTGGACGTGTTGGCGGTCCCGAGCGTGTGCTTTGTGTGCTGTCGACCACCAGCTGCTTTGCTCCACGCCTTCCCGATGACGTTCTTGCCATCGCCCGGTTGTGCAAAGTTTTGAATGTCCCGTACGTGGTTAACAACGCCTATGGCGTCCAAAGCCGCGTCATCATGCAGCGTCTGGACACTGCGATGCAGCTAGGACGTGTGGACGCCATGGTACAGTCGGGGGATAAAAATTTTCTTGTCCCTGTGGGTGGTGCTGTGCTTAGCGGGAAAACATATCTCGTAGAGCGGGCCGCCGCGTTGTACGCCGGGCGTGCGAGTATTTCGCCTGTTATGGACCTTTTCATCACTGCACTGAGCCTTGGCCGCTGCGGCTTTCAGCAACTCTGGGAGAGCCGCTACAAGGTGTTTGGGACGCTGCAGCAGCGGTTACGCCGGTTTGCGAAGGTCAGGGGTGAAATACTGCTGGATGACGAAGGTGAGGATTACACCGCCGCGCTACCGCCCTGTCCGGCGTGCGTGAGGCCTCGGAACGACATTAGCCTCGCTGTGAGCATGCATACGGTGGGGGGTGCGGCCAACGCAAAGGCAATAGGGGCGCGTCTGTTTCGCAGCGCCGTAACTGGGCCGCGTGTAATTGTGCCCGACCAGGTGGCAAAACCACTCTGCGGGCTGCCCTTCCGCAACTACGGTATGCACACGGATGAGGTGCCGCCGTGTCCGATGCTTGTCATGGCGTGTGGGATTGGCATGACGCTGGAGGAGGTGCACAAGGTCATGCAACGGCTTGAGACGGTGTGGCCACCGCCACCCGCAGTAGCGGCAGCAGGGGCAAGAACAGAAGGAGAGTGGATACCACCGAAGACAATGATGGCAACCGCAGCAGTACCATTGTTGAAAGGGATGGAAGCCGAGGCGCCGCTTGATGTTGATGTTTATCATGACGTGGATGACGAAGACGAGGAAGAGGACGACGACTATGAAGCAGAAGTGATGGGGAATGATGTAAAAAGCCCATGCCGGTGAAACACGCGCGCGCGTGCATTGCCATCATCACGGCTAAGATTGCTACGATTCCTATTATTGTTGGCACACTCACGTCTTTGTTTGTGGCACACCCGCATTGGGGGGGGGGGGGAATTAATCAGAGGGAAAACAACAGCAACATAAACAACAGTGAAACAGGCCTCGACGGCTTTCGTGGGGCTGTTGGCTAGCAGAAAAAGCGTTTAGAAAGGTGAAGTATGTTTTGTGTATAGTCTGCCTTGCTTTGAGGGAGAGGAAGAGGGGACGTGGGACAGGCCGGTGGGGCGCCGCGGCCTCTACTTCTTCTTTTCATTTCGTTCTTTCCTTCTGTGTGTGTTTGGGCGTGTCTTTATGTTGGTGGCCACGGCTTTATTGAGGCGGTGACAGCTGTCACGTGTGTCTTCCGCCGCGTCCACTATGGGCAAGTGTGGGGCCGCAACCCGCCCATTTTTCATATTTCTCTCTCTCCTCCTCTTCCTCCTTCTCCTTCCTGCTGCTGCTTCTATTCTCGGCGGACGGCCAGAGCATTACCGTGAAGGGGTCGCAGTGCCTGTCTGACGCTTTGTAGGAGTGAGACAACTAACACACACACACACACACACGCAACGCGCCGAAGAAAAGAAGGATAATTGTCGCAACGGCTGCGGGCTGCTGAGAGGAGGGGAATACAGCTGAGAAAAGATGGTGAAGCAACGCATGACGGCGCTTGACGTGCGGGCCTCCGTGGAGGAGATGCGCTCAGAGCTGCTCGGCCTGCGCCTTCTGAACATCTATGACATTTCCTCAAAGATGTTTCTCTTCAAGTTTGGCCACGGCGAGAACAAAAAGACGCTGCTGCTTGAAAGCGGCGTGCGGATGCATCTCACGCAGCTTGTGCGGGAGAAGCCCAAGGTGCCCTTGCAGTTTACGCTGAAACTCCGCAAACACGTGCGGGCCTGGCGCCTTGACTCCGTCACGCAGCTGCAGCACGATCGAACGGTGGACTTTCGCTTCGGGGTGGGCGAGGGCGCCTCCTACCACATCATTGTTGAACTCTTTTCGAAGGGAAACGTGGTGCTGACCGACCACGAGTACCGCATCCTGCTCCTCCTCCGCACACACAGAGACGACGACATCAAGATGTTCGTGCGGGAGTTGTACCCTGTGACACGACCCTTTGAGGAGCAGCTGCGGGCGGAGTCCACTGCGCCGTCTGCAGAAGAGCAGCGGCGGCATCGCACGGAGGCACTGCGTGAGGAGTGGCACGCTGTCTTTGCCCGACACGCCGACTACGAGACGCTGCGATCGACACTCTCGGCGGTGCATCATTTTGGCCCCGCTCTTGCCGATCACATCTTAAACGTCACCGGCGTCAGGAATGTAAAGAAGGGCGAGCTAACCTCTGACGCGGAGACTATGTTTAAGCAGCTGCTGCCCGGGATGCTTCAGGCATGGGAGATCGCCTTCTCCCCTTTGCCTGGTGGCGGGTATTTAATTGCGTACCAGAAGCAGGCCAAAACAGCAGCAGCAGCGAAAACTGGCGAGGGCAAACCACAGGCAGAGAAGCCGCAGGAAACGACGGTCGATGCAAGCCTGGCTGAGCGACCGCAACAGCTGCAGGCGGTGCACTACGATGACTTCAGCCCCGTGCTTCTTGCCCAGTACGGCGGCGACCGCGTCGCGACGTTGTTTTTAAAAAGCTTCGGCGGTGTTTGCGATGCCTTCTTCCTCTACACCGAGACGGAGAAGATTGAGCAGCACAATGAGAAGAAGACAACCTCCGTGCTATCCAAGCGGAGTAAGTTTGAGCGTGACCACCAGCGCCGCCTAGGCACCCTCGAGGCAGAGGAGCAGGAGAACCAGCGCAAAGGGGAGTACATCATCCACAACGCGGAAAAGATTGACGAGGCGATTGGGCTCATCAACGGCGCCCTTGCCGCAGGAATCCAGTGGGATGCGCTGCGCGGGCTGCTGCGGCGGCGGCACGCAGAAGGGCACCCCGTGGCGTACATGGTGCATGAGCTCTTCCTTGAGCGCAATAGCATGTCGGTGCTGGTGGAGGCCAACGAGCCGGAGGACGAAGACGCGGAGGCCTGCGACGTGACACCATTGGCGATTGAGGTGGACCTCAGCAAGACGGCGTACGCCAACGCGGCCACGTACTTTGCAAAGAAAAAATCCAACCGGGCCAAGTACGAGAAAACCGTCGCCGCCACCGCCAAGGCGTTGGCGGGAGCTGAGAAAAAGGGTGAGCGTGTAGCGGCCAAGCAGAAGACGAAGAAAGCCATTGTGAAGGAGCGTCATCGCTGGTGGTGGGAGAAGTTTGCGTGGTTTCGCACCTCCGCCGGCGACCTCGTGTTGCAGGGGAAAGACACGCAGACGACGGAGATCCTCGTGCGACGGGTCATGCAGCTGGGGGATGTCTTTGTGCACTGTGACGTGGATGGCGCTTTCCCGTGTCTACTTCGGCCGGTTGGCTCCGCCTGGACCACCGCCTTTGTGGAGGACGCAGGCAATTCTTCACCGGCTCCCCAGGCAAAGGTATGTCGAATCCACATGACAAGTCTCGATGAGGCCGGTGCATGGTGCGTGAGCCGCAGCTCTGCGTGGGAAAGTAAATTTACCGTCGCCGCATGGTGGGTGCATGCGTCCCAGATCACTGGGGGGACCGCCAGTGGCTGCTACCTTTATGACGGGGAAAAGCACTACCTGCGTCCGCAGCCGCTTACCTTTGCGTGTGGGCTGCTTTTCCGCGTCACCGCTCGCCGCATTGACCCCACCAACCATGATGAGCTTCCAAACTTCATAGCCGAAGGCGAACGCGGCCCTCAGCACGAGGATATCAGCGGAAATGGTGCCTTTCTTTCGCCTGATAGTGCCACTGCACTCCGCCCGTTGCCGTCTGTTGCGGAGCTGCGTGGGCCTCGCCATCGCCCGAAACAACAACAACAACCACTGCAGCCACAACAGCAGCACCAAACCCACGGCGCAGCTGCAGGGAAATTCACCCAAAAGGGGATGATTATGGGTTCTATAGCGACCAGACCGACACCAACGACGGCAGCCGCGGGAACCGAGCGAGGCGGCGGTACCGCCAAGGTTGTGGCTGCCCCTCCCTCACAGAAGAGCACGCAGCAGCTAACAAAGCACCAACGGAAGAAGCTCAAAAAAATTCAGGAGAAATATAAGGACCAGGACGAGGAGGACCGCCTCCACGGTGCCCTTCTTAATGGCAATCAACTGTCGAAGGTGCAGCTGGAACTGCTGATGCGTCAGCGGGAGGCGGCGGAGCAGCATGAGTCCATGCCGTCGGTGGCAACCGAAACCCACAACAATGACGACAACGGGGAGGATGAATTGGGTGTGGAGGAGGCATCCGAAATCGGCGAGGAAGACAAGGCGGAGGCGAAGAAGCACGGCCATGCATCTGCCTCTGTGTCTGGCAGCAACTCGTCAGGTAAGAAAGAGGAGCAAGCAATCGAAGAGGAAGGGGAGGAAGACGATGAGGAGCGCAGGAAAGGCGAACGACAGTTAGGACCACGCGACGCTGTCGGTTGTGTGGAGGGCTCGTGCGCTGCGAAGGACGAGGAGCTTCGCCATGAGTGGCAATACTTCACCTCACAGCCGCAGCCGACGGATAACATTGAGTACGCCGTGGCAGTTTGTGCCCCTATGAGTTGCGTCATCTCGTACAAATACCGTGCCGAGTTGTCGTGTGGAAATGCCAAGAAGGGTCAAGTGACGACCAGCCTGCAGCGGTACTTTCTGACAATGACCAAAGGCATTGAGAATGCGTCCGAGGTGGGCGCCGTGGAGTCGTTGGACGCGAATGGCGTGATGGAGCAGCTCCGCGGGAATCTGAAGTGTCTCCCCATGAGGGGGGCAAAGTAATGTGGCGTGACCACCGCGTTGGGGACCTTCCTGGTTTCACCTGCATGAGCTTGTGGGTGTTCTCGCTCCTTCTCTCTGATCCTCGTTCGCGCCAGCACCCCAACTCATCCTCAGCTCATGCATGGCCTCTTACTCTGTAGTCGGCTGTTGCTTCAGGGGCGGGGGTGAGAGGCTGTTCTCTGTCGTTACATGCAGGTGTGTGTTTGCATCTGGGGGGTGCCGGCATTGCACTCACCCGCATCTGTTTTATTTTCTTTTTCCTGTTGTTGTTGTTGTTTTGCCGCTCATTTGCTCTCATGCTACGCATTGCTGTTGCCGCTGCCGCTGCCTGTTTCCTCGCACCTCACTACCCTCTCCACGCCGCCTGCATCATTTTTTGCCCCCCCCCCCCTCAGTTGGCGAGTGATAATTTCTCTACAGCAACACAAACCACAACGCAACCAACACAACAACAAGAAAGGAATTACTTCCACCAAGACCCGTGATTCAGATGGCCGACCAACTCTCCAACGAGCAGATCTCGGAGTTCAAGGAAGCCTTCTCGCTTTTTGACAAGGACGGCGATGGCACCATCACGACGAAGGAGCTCGGCACGGTGATGCGTTCGCTGGGCCAGAACCCGACGGAGGCGGAGCTGCAGGACATGATCAACGAGGTGGACCAGGACGGCAGCGGCACCATTGACTTCCCTGAGTTCCTTACGCTGATGGCACGCAAGATGCAGGACTCGGACTCGGAGGAGGAGATCAAGGAGGCGTTCCGCGTGTTTGACAAGGACGGCAACGGCTTTATCTCCGCTGCTGAGCTGCGCCACGTCATGACGAACCTCGGCGAGAAGCTGACGGACGAGGAGGTGGACGAGATGATCCGCGAGGCGGACGTGGACGGCGACGGCCAGATCAACTACGAGGAGTTTGT